GAGTTATACTGTGCTACACTTAGGCATGGACAGACGGAAACGTTAGCATTCAGTGACTACAAGAGTCACTATTCGGATGTGAATTCCATCAAACAGGTGCAAATCCCAGAAACATGGTTCATCCCTCTTACACAGTTGAGCTGAGTTGAGCTGAGGCAAGAATTGTTATCAGAGCATTCGTGGCATTCCCAAACCCACTCCGACCACATCTTCGGTGCAGAGTTCTAGTACTGATGGTACCGGTCGTTGTCTGGTTATATATCCGTCTTGCCTTTCCTCTGAGTGTGGTGAGCCGACTGAACTCAGGTGCATCATCTCTCCCGGCAATAATACTCTAGTTTCTTTTCTGACTTCGTTACTGTTCCCAAAATGCCTTGACCACATCTGCCTTGTCATGTATCATGTCACCGCCCAGTGGTGCAGATCCAGCCAATCTGTCTGTCTGTTTATTCAGCACCATCACGGCACTGCTGTTTACAAGATTGAAATCAGAATATAAATATACTCGGCTGCCCGCACCTCCCAAACACAGACACTCACACTGAAACAAACAACATGAGGTCCCCACACGCCTTAAACAGTGTTCTACCACCCATGGACCGTCGCCCTCTGGTGCATGGATGATTTCAGGTGGACCGTCAACAAAATCTGCTTACTCATTTAACGGGATAGGGTGGGTCGTTTTTCTCTTCCGCGATTACAGTCGATAGGATCAACCTCTCATTGATAAGAATTAAACACGTACAAGTGATCTTCAACATAACAAGTCAGCATTTAAAGATGTAAGCTAAAAACTTTGGAAAAATATTTCTCTGAAAATGAGGGTCCTCGAAAAGACAAATAGGATTTATAATCCCTTCTTGGGAGACTTGAAAAAAAAATCTTGCGAGTCGATAATCTTAAGAAAAAAAAAGTAACGGTGATTGAGTTGTACTCTGATGTCAATCTTGTGTCCATACATAAAATATAATCATTGTATTATTGACATTAATCTTGCCTGTTCCAACCCCAAAACTGTATGGTACACGAAAGGATATAGACTGCATGATAACTTTCATAAAGGCTACCTGCCTCCTGATATAAGTTTTCTGACAGAAGGATCGAAGAAGAAAAAGAAGATTGTATAATGTTAGGACATCACTTGGAAAAGAATATCCATGTCTGAGTCACAGAGCTATCAGATTGTTGGTCTTTCTTTTACGACTTTATTTTTTGTATGAAAAGACATTCTCAAACATGTCAGTAATAAAAAATTTTTTTTTTTAATCTAAAGAATGTTATGCAGCGCTTTGTCTATCAGAATTAACGCTCCAGCCACTTATATCAGATTTTCTAGCCTATAAGCAGCAGGAGATATCATTATTAGCTGAGAACTGTAATTTGATGATATCAGATTTAGCAAACAAACTGTCACCTACATTTGTTTATCGTTCTGTGTTTGGCAAGCCACGAGATGGGCCGGGAAACTAGTATCCCAGTTTTGATGGGCCGCAGGTGTGAAAAGGCCCAGAAACACTGGTTTAAGATTGAGGCACTCGATGGTTTCGATCGAAGTAACTCGTGTCTGTCCAGTCTGGGTGGGTTGTCATGGCACATCATGGCATGTCACGCCCCACAGTCTGATTATATAGCATTTCGCCTTGCCTTTTTTTCCGAGCGTTGATTGTCAGAGATATAAAATATAATTATGCAGATTTGTGTACAGAGAACCGTTAGGATGGCAAAGTTATACTTAACTCACACAATCCAGCAGACGGACGAACCGCCTTGTTAACGCATAAAACGCACTATTCATTGGAATTAAGCCAAAGTCAGCAATTTACGTGATGTTTATCTAACTTCCAAGTTCCAGTACCATTTAAAAAAAAATAGACCACCTTCCCATAAGTGCGCTTTTTAGGCTGTTATTTGTCTCTTTATAATAGGAATAAACTCACAGGGAGCAAGTGCAGCAGGGATCTACCAGTCGTCAGTAGAAATTATCCTCGTCGACACGCGTTTCGGCCCACGATTCCTAGACGCATTCGGAGGTGGGCCCTCCTGAGTTCATGAAGCTCAGGGCTGGTTCCCTGCTGCACGGAATTACCGGATGGTGTTTTCCTTTCGGCCAGAGACAAGACGACTTGGTGGTTTTGCAGAAGGTACTGTGAGATAAGAAGCCGCCGCGGCAGCCTAATTAAAGCAGTCAGCATGCCTGGACGACCGAGCGACAAGCTTACGATTGGTTTACCGGACACATGTTGGACTTTTATTAGCAGTTGGCAGAGGAACACTGGCAGACAATTCGGACACGATGGACTTTCAAAGGGGTGAGAAACCCTTTTCCACTAGACACCCGGACCAGCTCACCGAGGCCCGTCCCCTACGTTGTTGCGCTGCGTCCAAAGCCAGCTAGAGGCCCTTTCGGCTACCTCTCCCAGTTTTTTGAGTGTTCGTTTCCGTTCATTACCGCGCAATCCTAGTTCTTTCACCACATTGTAGAGCGAAGTGGAAACGAGGCCTCTCGCTCCCACTTCGACGGCAAAGACCCGTACTGTGTACGACTCGTTTCTCCTCAGACCGGCTGCTAAATCACTGTACTTCTCGAGCTTGTACAGGTGATTCTCCTCCATACGCGACTCAAACGGGACGGTCAACTCAATCAGGATGAGCTGCCGTTTTTGCGCAGAATGGAGAACTATGTCCGGTCGCAGACCGGTCTTACGGATCAACTCGGGGTACCGTTCATGGCCTGGCAGATCAACCGCCAGTAACCAGTCCCTCGCAGAGTCTAGCACAGATGGAGCGAATGCGTTTTGGTTGACCTTACCTTTTGGAACCTGCCCAGCCTTGAGGAAACGAATGGGGACGATGCTAGAACTGGCTCTGGCGTTAGCCCTCATTCTAGCCTGGTCGACAACGGCTGCTAACTCTTTTAGCACCTTGTTGTGTCGCCAGGTGTATCGGCCTTGACCTAGGGCTTTCCTGCACGCGGACAGGACGTGCTCAAGAGTTTGCTTCGATTTACACAACGGGCAAGTCGGATCGTTGGTCGCAGACCATTTAACCATATTAACACCGGACGGTAATACATCGTACGCCGCACGAACGATAAAGCTCAGTCGCAGCGGGGTCATCCGCCAGATCTCACCCCATGTGAGTACTCTTGGCAATGCGCTCTCCAGACAGTATATACCAAAAGAAATTATGGTGGATGGCTTAAGACAGTGACATGGAGGAATCTTATCAGTAGAACTGATCCAGAACACCAAAGACTATATTTATCGACGCATGGACGCCTATGCCAGCTGGTAAGGCACTTGATGATGATGATAGTATGCTCGAAGGCATAGCAATTCTTACTCCTTATTCTTGAAGTCCATACCATCTGGTGTTGGTAGTCATGTTTGTCCACAACCTTCTGTCTCATACATTTTCAATCAAACTCTGATACAGATGATCATCAGTACCATGATGTCAAACTGTCCAACATGTTCTCTCTTGGTTTCTATTTGCCTCTCTTCTCTTCCAGCTTTCCTACTGTCACGATGTATTTCAGTCGTGGCATGACTAAAGATTGTCAAATATTTATTTCTCTCTTTCAGATGTGGGCAGTCAGTTCTCTTCGTGGGTCAAATTCTTTCAAGATATCTTCTTTACTCCACATAAGTCAAAATGACGTTATACTTTTCACGCCACTACATAGTTCGTATGTGCCAGTCAATATTCAAACGTGATGTTTTCGAAACAAGGACATACCACCTGGGCGACTTTGACGTAGTGCTCTCATATAATGCAGTTTGTAGGTTTAGCATTATAATTTAGTTTTAATTACACTGTTGTTAGACTCTTGTTCGGTGACTTTTATTTTATTCTGGACAGCATATGAATTGTTGTCTGTTGTAGTGTTATCAGCTCGATCGTTGGCAGACGGAGCTATAGAATTGCCAGAACACTGTTTAGAGGGGCCGTCAATTTTCTGTTCAGCTGCATCTTCTGCTTCCTTCACCTGCACAGATGAGTATAAAAAAACATAAAATTACTATATATTTTTCACACATTCATACACATAAGCGCGCCGGTATGCCGGAATACGAGAGCTTATACATAGTGAGGACTTCGCTCCGCCTCCCCCATCTCCCCTTAAAAGTTTGAGTCAGTCAGTAGCATGTCCTTTACAGAACCATGCTTCCATAACAACCTTGCCGAAAACTTCTCAATCACAAGCAAGATAAGCGTCTGATAAACCCATCTGGAGATCATCTGCCACATCCTGCACCTATCTTCTCTTTGGCCTTCCTTTTCCTCTCTTCTCAGGCATATACCCCTCCATTATTGTTCTCTCCAAACTTTCGTGACGTTTTAAGTGACCACAATATTTCAATTTTCTGTGTTTTATTGTCTTTAATGGTCAACCTTCTTCAGTCTGTTTCCGTTTAGGCATATCAAATTATTTTATATATATTATCATATTTATTGAAACGTAGCACATAACTTTCACCACAACCACCACATCTACAACCACTACCACCATAACCACCACAACTACAACCATAACTACCACAACTACAACCACTACCACCATTACCACCACCACTACAACCACTACTACCATTACAACCACTACTACTACCACCACCAGCACCGTCACTATTACCCCTGCTGCTGCTGTTACTACTACTACTACTACTACTACTACTACTACTACTACTACTACTACTACTACTACTACTACACCTGCTATTAAAAACTGAAGGAAAGCTTAGACACTATAAGGATCATACTCCATACCCCATTTTTTTAAAATATAAAATTTGAAATGGGGTTTAGGCCGCCATTCCACACACACACACACACACACACACACACACACACACAGAGAGCGAGCGAGCGAGAGAGTGTGTTGAGAGAGATAGATAGAGAGAGAAAGAGAGAGAGAGGGAGAGAAAGAGATATTTATATCTCCTAGGTTTTAAGTGTTTCATCTTCAACAGACCACAACACAATACCCAAATACTTGCCTTATAAAAGCAGATAGCAAGCAGGAATAACAAGGCAGCGGCTATGGAAAATGCCAGAGCCAGACCCATGAGGTAGATACTGAGCTTGTGGTTGTCGTAGAAAAAACAAGAACCGTCGCCACTGCAACGCTTTTGCCAAACCAAACAGGCGTAATCAAACATTTTCCCAAACAAGATCGGACCTGGAATGGAGCCTAAAATGACAATATGAGTAATGGGTTATAAGTTAGATTATCTTCACAGCACTCTAGACACATCCATAGGCGCTCAGATTCCCCTCTCAACATATTCATCTGCGTCGTGCGGTTAATAGTACCAGTCCTATGTTGGTTAACAAGACTTTGTGTGCGTCCAGTGAGCTTCTCATGCTTGGCTGTGCGATCTTTACTCCCAATTCGCGTATTCTTAGCAGTGATGTAGACACGTTGCTTCCAAAATCCTCAGAACGTCCTATCTCTCTAAGGGCAATGACAATGTCTGCGTGATCCATGGGCAGGCCATCTTCAATTAATGCAGCACCTGCCAATCTATCAGCTCTCTCATTACCAACAACGCCTGCATACCCTGAGACGAATATGAAAGTAACTGCACACGCAGGAGAATTTTGCAATGATTCAAAAAATGACAGTATAATAATATTTATGACTTGCCAAACAAATTGCCGGCACTCACTACAAAGTTTCTGAAATTATGCCGTTAGTCGCCGCAATAAGCCGCTACGGGTAGCGGCTAGGCGCTAGACTACTGATGTCAAAGTCATGGATTCAAATCCGGCTCGGGTTAGATTTTCTCAGATGACCTTAGCTCCCACGACGACCCAGGTTTAAATGGGTGCCAGATAAAGTCCTGGAAAGTAAAGGCGATCAGTGGGATAATTCTGCATCTCACCCATCAAGTGCCTTTTTGTTAAAAAAGAAAAAAAAGTAGGTCTAGCACTATACATTGTATACCCAATTTACCTACTGGCATGGGAAAAAAAGTAATTTGTTTACTGAGGACAAAACACATATTTCACTTCTTCGCCTTCTGCCTTCTATCCCCCATTGGAGCATAGGCCCCCAAACAACTCACCCAAGTCATTCTATCCTTCACTATTGCATGCAGCTCTCTCCATGTCCTCCCATCTTTTTTAACTTCACTCTCTAGCTCTCTTCTCCGCGTGTTTTTTGACTTCCTTTTTTTTATATGTCCCTGTGGGTTCCAGTGTAAGACATTCTAATTAAACTGTTCTCGATTCCCTCAACATGTGTCCTATCCAACGTCAGCGTCTTGACTTCACAGCTTAGTCTACTGAAACATGTTTAGTTGTCCCCCAAAACTCAACATTAGTGATTCTATCATACTATCTAATTTCCTCTATTCTGCGCAGGCACCAGTAAATGTTAATGTTTGTAGTTCATTATTTAGCGTTTTAATTGTTCTGCATGTATTGATTTAGAATTAGAATTGAAAATTTTAGGTTTATTATTAATTTTAATTAATTTTGACTTCCTTAACTTCTCTCTTGCTACGAAACCTCATTTTGTTTTTTGTATTTGCATTTGACTATCTCTATCAGTTTCCGATATCTATTTACATTACTGCAAAATAGGTGTATGAATCCACGTTTTGAAGTGGGATAGCATTAAGAGAAACCATATGTGGACGACCTCTAGAATTCCCTCTGGTCTCTGGGTAATGAGAGACACAGGCTCTGTAGCATCGGCGAGGATCCTGAAAAACGTTAGGTAGATTTTTAACTCTAAATTTTACCCAGGCAGTTCCTTTAGGCTACTCTTTTCGATTTCCAACTGTCAAGAGATTTTTTTTATGTGCGCAACAATGCACACGGGCGTTCGATCTCACTACCCAGAGAGCAGGGGGAATTATTAGAAGTCCAAGTTCACGTGAAAAAATCCCACCCCTTAACGGGGATTTAACCCGGAACCTCTAGCACTCGATGCAGACACCATGCCCTGAGACCACGCATTTCCACTAGTCAGGAGAAACGGAGATCCAGTAATAACTGCGTAGAGCAAAGAAATGTAACAAAATAATACTCTGAAAGTAACGGTATGGCCTTGCGACATAGCCTCTGAATGTGACTACGGCATAGTATTAAATCTACCAGGGCAGTGTCAAGAAATAAAGGCGGCGAGGTAAGAATTTTTTCACTCATCTCACTGTTTGAATCCCTAGATTATGTTCTAAAATATGTAATAGGATATGTCATGGGAAATAAAGTAGGCCATCGCTCGTTGACCACATCAGCTATCGAATGCTGGGGGTCTCCATGGCGAAGTGGTCAAGCCGTTTACCTCGCCTCTAAGGGTCGGGGGTTGTTTTGACGTCCCCGTCGTTCAGTTCACGAGTGCGTTTTTTACTGAGATCCCCGGGAATAGTTGCCGGAACTATGGGGTTCATGCTTTGTACGATGCTCTCGGCAGGCAGATAGCTGTTCTGCATAGAAAGGTCGAGCCATATAGGATAAAACCCGGTGCCATGAAGTCAATGGCCTTAACTTTAACACATCGAATTCGGATTAGTACATAAAGATATGATTCTTGGATTATACAAGGTCCGACAATAAAGTAATGAGACTGATTTTATTATGGCCAAGACACAAACGCCATCTACGAAGCAAAGCATGGAATCTAAAGAGACAACATTCATCTATGATCTTGCAGTGTTTCATCGCCGCTCGATAAGCAGACAACAAACAAGCCGCTATTTTGTTGACCTAATCAGAGGTGCATTGCTACGTAAGGAGCAAAAAGCTAACATTAAATTCTTTTCAAAACTCAGAAAAAGTGACATTGAAACAGTTGAATCGATGCAACAAATTTATGGGGATAATTGTTTATCTCGTGCACACATTTTCAGGTGGTATTCACGATTGAAAAGTGGTGCGGAAATGATTACTAATGCACCTAGAAATTGACGCCAACTTTCTGTTCCTAACGAAGAACATATAGCAAAAGTCAGAAAACAGATACAAGAAGATCATTGTTTTACTTTGAGGATGATGGCAGATGAATCTGGTGTTAATAATAGAGAGATCATTCGGAACATTTAAATGCAAGATTGTGTGTGTGTGGGGAGGGGGGGGGGGGGGGGGGGTTGCTTTTTGTTTTGTACCACATTCGTTGTGATGACCAAAAACATCAGCGGGTTGAGTACCCAAGAGACATCATCAAAACAAAATTTTTTGGCTCAAAAACAAGTGAGTGTTCTCAGCCTTTCACTCTATTTCCCAGATTTCTATCCCTGTGATTATTTTATATTCTCAAAATTAAAGTTACGATTAAAATGAAGCTTCTCTAACGATATTGATGACATCCAAGGGGTCGTAAGGTTGACTTTAAGGGCCATAACAACAGAACGACAGAGGTCATTTCAGTATTTGTTAGATGGTGACACTTGCTGTATCAATGTATAAGGGGCTAACTTTAAATCAGATACAGTTTATATCTTCAACTATTGAATATTTTAATTTTTATGAAATTAGTCTCATTACTTAATTGTCGGACCTTGTATTCTTGTTGGGCCACCAACGTTATAAAATGACCTTCTGCTACAGACAGGCCTTGTTAGAGGGGGTGGGGGGGGGGGGAGCGTCACCAATCATAGACCAATAACACTGAATATCGTGGGGTCACCACTTGGTGCTGTTGACTATCTCATCAGTTCCTTCCAACTCTGTGCAATGACTTTGATATTGTATCTTTAAAGCCTATTCACTCAACCATATTGTATATCCACGTTTTTATTTGTCTGCCTCTTCACCTCTACAGAGCCCTGTAGTATTTTGTGGTAATATTTCTTTCTGTTTCTTTGTTTATTTGTTTTTGTTTTTGTTATTACTTTGTGCAACCTACCCTTTATTGTCTGTAGGATCTAACATGAAAATGATGTGTAAAAACTGCCACGTCTGAAATATGTACACATAAACAAAACATGACTATTAGATTATTCAAGATAACAAGTACATACCGAGGCACCTTGCCACAATCCACTGTATACCCAAACCAAAGGCCCTCTGGTGATCTGGAACACACCTGGTGAGATACCCGATCATATAGGTCTTAAATAATATACCATATAGCTCTTAGGAAAAAAAAAAGATGTTTAAATTAATATTTTGAAAGGTACCACTGGGGTACGAGAAACAGTATACGTGCAGGTTATTCTTCTCCTAATAGTTCATGCTGTGTTGCGCTGGTAGTTATGTCTTTCCACAATTTTCTGTCTCGTGTACTTTTAGTAAATTATGACATAGATGATCTTCCATATTTCATGCCGTGTGGCACTGGTAGTTACGTCATTCCACAACCTTCTGTCTCGTGTACTTTCAATTATTTCCGACGCAGATGATCTTGCACGGGATCATGTTAGACTGTCCAGCGTCTACACTTTCCATCTACTTGATAAAGGGTATTAATTATTGTTAAAAATATTTTATGTGTCAACTAAGATATAAATATTTAAAATAACGAACAAATAAATTGTATGTGTTTTGTAAAAATTGACATTCTGGTTCAAGCCGAGTCTTCTGGAATGTACTTTTTTCAGGCCTCGGTAATTATGACTAAGGTATAATCTCAAAAAAGAAAATTACTTATACTACTACATGTTTGAATCTGAGAATATAAAAATATAGCATCATGAGATAGAAGGACCTAAACTGACCACCTGGACAGTGCTAGTTAACGTAACAACTAGGACAGGTACAAACGGTTACTAAATGTATATCGTCGAAGAAGGAACATTCAAACGCGTTGCAATTCCTCTGAACTGGATTACTTGATGACAGTTTATACGTACGTTACTCTGTCTACTAATAATAAAGACAGTCTACACGTACGTTACTCTGTCTACTAATAATAAAGACAGTCTACGCGTAGGTTATTCTGTCTACTAATAATAAAGACAGTCTACACGTAGGTTATTCTGTCTACTAATAATAAAGACAGTCTACACGTAGGTTATTCTGTCTACTAATAATAAAGACAGTCTACACGTAGTTTACTCTGTCTCATAATATATCTGTGCCTATAGCAACAAGAAAGTTTTACTAAGTGTTTGTAGCGCTGGGATCTCATGCGGGAGACAAGGGATCAAATCCTCCATATCAGATATGAATGTTTTTTTCCTGGGCAGCAAAAAACAGAAATCCTAATACTGCACAGTTTGCTGAAACTTCACTAGACACACAGCCTTTAATCTTCAGCATGACGACCATGTCCGTGCCTTACCGATCTAAAGGGGATAAACATATCCAGTGAAGGCCAATATTTGTTTGCTCTGGTCTTTATCACTCATCAATTTACCCTAGATATGTGTGGCTTTTAACTCGATCATTGCCGGTCCCAAGCCCGGATGAGAAAGGAGGAGAGTTGGATGTGTGGTCATCTCTTCCACCCTATAAAGAATTATTTGCTACATAAAATAGCAGAAAAAGAAATCACCCCCTCCCCCCCCCCCCCCCCCCAACAACAACAAAAACCCCCACTGAAATAAGAAATTGATGGATGGAGGAAACAAGGACATCCAAGAATGCATGTTAGTCCTCCAGGCGACTCAGAAGGATCCACGAGATAACATGGAAAGAGACCTGACCCACCAGCTAAACAGACTCGAAGACAACAATCAGATCGTTCTTCAGTGGATCCCGGCTCACTGCGGCATACCAGGACGTGAGCTAGCAGACAGACTTGCTAAAAATGGAACAAAAGAGAAACAACACACCCATCCATTGTCATTACCAGAAATCAGAATACTTATCAAGGGAAAACACAAGGAATTGTAGAGAAAACAAACTAACATAACAGTAAACACACACAAGACCCTATCAGCAGACTCAAGAGAAAGCAACATACAACAATTTTCCGTACACGAACAGAACACTGCAGAGTCAACTACCACATGCATAAAGTAAAGACTGTACAGTCCTTACAGTGTGCATGTCAGACAGGACCACAAACACCTGAGCACATTCTGTAGACCTGCCCACTCTACCTACAACTTCAAAAAGACACCTGGTCTCAAGAGCAAAGTGTACACAGCAAGGTATGGGGAACCATGAAGGATCGCTACTGACATGCGAGTTCAGAGGCAACCCACCTGATGGTCTGATCTGAGCATACGAAACCGAACGCAAAGAAAAAAAGAATAATATTACCTGGGCAGCAAATATAGAATACCCAATTCTGCACATTTTGCGGAAACTGCCACACAGCCTTTAATCTTTAGAATCACGACTATGCCCGTGCCTTACCAGCCTAAAAGTGATAAACCTAACCAGTAAAGGCCAATATTTCTTTGCTCTGGTCTTTATCAGCCAATTTACCCTAGATAAATGTGGCTGTTAACTCCATCATCGCCGGTCCCAAGCCCGGATGAGAAAGGAATAGAGTTGGAGTGTGACCATCTCTTCCACCCTGTAAAGAAATGGTTATTTGATATAGAAAATAGCAGAAAAGAGAATCACCAAACACTAAAATGAGAAATTGATGGATGGAGGAAACGACGACACCCAAGAAAAATTTTAAAGTGTCAAAAAATGCCGGACTGGATTCTATCCATGATATCGACATGATTGGATGGAAAAAGACAGAATGGAGAAACAGAATGTCAGCTATACGTGACACATAAAGTCATCGTCATCATCGTCATGTGCCATGCCAACTGTCGTAGTCGCTCACCCGTCTCCACAGATTACGATCCCTGGTGGCCTGAAACAGCTCTCTTGATGATATCCCTCCAAGCCATCGTTTCAGCCCATCCATCGTCGTCTCTCTTGGTTTGCCTCTACCCCCTTTTCCACTGATCTTTCCAGTTATCACGATGTTCTCCAATGTCTCTCTTTTCATTATATGGCCAAAGAACAGTGTTTGTCTCTTTTGTATTGTTGTATATAGAGATCTACTTCCATTAGCTTCCTTCAAGCAGTCGTTGTTGGTTACTCTGGCCGTCCAAGGTATTCGTTACATTTGTCTCAGAAACCACATCTCTGTTGTATCCAAATCCTTCCTAATTTGTTCACTGACATTCCAAGATTCGCTGCCATACAACAGAACAGGTTCTAAGTAACATTTTAGCACCCTCTTTCTGACATATAAAGTCGCAATTAGAAAAGGGAAGAACGAATGATTAAATGAACTTGTGGCCATTTTTTACTACAAAGGACGAAAACAATACATTTAGAGCGTAAGTAGAATTTCTTGAAATGTAACTCACCTCAAAGTTGCTGTAAGGGACGGCATAGATATAATGAACACAAGAAGGATCATTGCTGTAAAACATATAATGAATGGTGCCAGCCATTTGCATTGGAGCTCACATTTTCCAAACTCCCCAACATAGTGTTTGCCTTCGGAGTAGTCAGATGTTGTCAGGTTATAGTTTATGCAACTGCAGTTCTCATATCTCTGTTAGAAGGTTCAAATCGTTGATCGTCAACAACATAGTCACAGAAACAGCGCTTTGTGAAAGGAATTGAGAAAACACAACACGGGCGATAAGAAAAAAACAAGCGAACACAAGTGATGGGTGCTTACAGGAGGTAAATAATATTGTTGTATTTACGAGTAGAGACAGACAGAGAGAGAGAGAGAGAGAGAGAGAGAGAGAGAGAGAGAGAGAGAGAGAGAGAGAGAGAGAGGAGAGAGAGAGACCGACCGACAGACAGTTAGACAGACAGACAGACAGACAGACAGACAGACAGACAGACAGACAGACAGACAGACAGACAGACAGACAGACAGACAGACAGACAGACAGACAGACAGACAGACAGACAGACAGACAGACAGACAGACAGACAGACAGACAGACAGACAGACAGACAGACAGACAGACAGATTAAATATCTCTGTTCTATGATAAAACAGACAGACAGAAAGTGTTGGAGATTTAACGCAGTCACAAACTTACTCGGGTAAAAGCAGATTTATCAACTGTTGGAAACAAATATAAAGTTTAAAATAAATAAATAAAAACTAAAAGAATGCAATAACTTTTCTTCACATTGCGAGACTTACTGGGTATATGGACTTAGTCCCACATTTTTAGAATGGTCAGACTCCGTCACTGATCTTTTGTTTATAACCAAGGCCACCTTTACTTCCCAAGACATTTTATTGTACCGTCATCCCCTGTTTCCTCACAGCTCATTTCTACCAGTAAATTATGCAGTTGTGTGTTTTTTGCAAACCAGCTCAAACGGTTACTAGCTTATGTGCGGTATTTCTTAGTATTTTAACGGCGCAGAACAGGTCCTATGGCCAAAATTAGCGAAATAATCATCTGCTACCAAACTGCTCTTAGCTGACTTAGAGACCCAGTACATCGAAACTGTGAAATTGTGCTCACAACCTACAGGGTGTCCAGGTCCCCATTCTGGGTTGAAACAAAAACAGTAGAGAATTATTTGAAGCAGACCCACCCACACTAGACTACAGATTGCTTGTAAGCGCTTTTTGGAGCCTCAGTTTAATTGTGTTAGATAGTTATACATTTGAACAGGGTTTTCATGATTTGTAGCTGTCTCATTCTCATCTTAGATGATATTCCTACAGGCCACAGTCCTGCAGGTAGTAGTAGTACATTTTACCCCACTAGGACATCACACAAGAGATAAACACCCGATGACACAAAGTGCCACCATGTGGATAAGGATCACCTGTGGAGAGGTCCCGGAAGCAGCGTTCAGCCATTAGACTATATTTATGGCCTGGCTATATTGCCACCCCTGGCAAGAGCCAGGGTGGGGCTTGAAAAAAACAACGAAAAATTTCATCCTACAAGGAGATGACTAATTAATTATAGTCCTGCAGGAGAAAGAAAGAAAAAGAAGACCTATAGAAACTTTACTGTCATGTCATAAAAAGCGACGAAATAAGGGTTTGCTGAAATCGGAAATGTTGGGCCTAAAGGTACAGATGTCACATCCCAGCTGCAAACCACATCACGTGCCAACCGCCCTTTTAATGTCGAACGAAGAAGAAGAAGAAGAAGAAGAAGAAGAAGAAGAAGAAGAAGAAGAAGAAGAAGAAGAAGAAGAAGAAGAAGAAGAAGAAGACGAAGACGAAGAAGAAGAAGAAGAGGAAGAAGAGAAGAAGAACCAATTAAAATTTCAAAGTGACCAGTGAAGTTAGAATAATGTCCCCTTGTACCTTTTGCTCAGTATCAAGTAACGATGTTGTTTCACAACCAGCATAGCACGGGGAGAAGTACATCACATTGTCCCTTCCACAGATTGGAAAGTAGTTCTCCTCTGTACAAGAGCAGTTCCTATTGCAAGTATCATTCAGGTTTTTACCAAAGAAGGACGCCGCCCTGTTGTAAATAGACAGGTAAACATTTAAAAGATTAAAAGGGGGTGGGGAGGGGGGGGGGGGGTTACTTTGTAAACTTTACTTCACAAAGGTAGATTCTTGGATGTAGATGCAAGATTCACAACCTCCCATAACATTTATCATTAGATTCCCTTATTCACACCGGAAAACCATTGTTGGCAAGTGCTGCCCTCACCCCCCCCCCCCATTTTTTCCTTCCCCCTCTTTCCAACCCCGCCTGCTTCTGTGGCTTAGACGTTGCGAGTGGGCTGTGTAAATCCTAGGTGCCGAGTTCGATCCCAGCTGCGGCATTTGGCAGCAGACCACCTAGGGTTGGTTTCAACAGTAGCATCACCAGCTGACCGTACAGAAGCAATGACAAACCACTAAACATAACATTGCCTAGCGATATTACAAAAGCAACAATGGGAAATAAAAAGCCTGGCGTTGGTTCTGTAAACGTTCTCTAAGAGGACAAGCAGCTAGCTGGTGGGTGAACCGATATAACTGTTTTACACGGCTGAACAAGATATCTAGAATTGTTCCTAATGTGTTTACATCCGAATAGTGGTTCCACGATATACTGGAGGTCAAATCTACAGATATCAGTATCGGAAGGGATAAACAATGTGGCATTCACAACTAAATATATTGTCCACCAGTCCATTTTTTGCAGCGTTGCATTGTCCTATGCCACATCTTAATCTATAAACCTCGCAGAAGCTAAATGTCTCTATCTTGTTCCACAAACCTCGCAGATTAAATACTATTTGGCTGTATCTTATTTCATAAGCCTCACAGCTGCTAAATGTCTATATATCTTATTCCCTAAACCCTACATATGACATACTAAATGCCCATATCTTTTTCCACAAATGTCTATATCTCGTTCCTTAAACCTCACAGATGAAATATATAAATGTCTATATCTTATTCCATAAACCTCACAGATGACAGACTGATTATCCATATCTGATTCAACAAAGAATGCCATATCTCAGATCAAATTTTCATTTCAGAGAAAAAAAAAACGTGATGCACCAATGGCAGGCTAAGTGCCCTTTGAGTTTAACTTCAACAAAACTATAATGATAATAAAAAGAATAAACTTACATTACTTACTCAACTGTAGTCTGTCCATAAGGTAAAGTGATACCAGCAAATGGTTCAGTGTCACACTCCATCAGCAAAGCTGTGGCCAGTGTGCACAGCAAGAATGAGGTCACACAACACAGTTTGAGAATACCTCGCACTTTCAAAGTGAAGCATCTGACAATGAGGCCGCCGGCAAATGTACCTCCCCCACCAGCCGGTACAGCTGCAAAACCTGGGTAATGAAGTCTGAGTAAGTCAGTATTACGTGTCAGTATGTATCTAGATTCATGCATTAAATAATACAAGTTATACGCTTGAAATCCGTTTTTCGTTGATCAAAATAAAAGTAATTTTTGTTTCTTTAGTAAGTAAGTAAAGTAAAGGATCATTTTCCACGCCTTGAGGCGTATAGGGCTAGATCTATATTTTTATAGACCAATCGGCACAAGATGGGTGATGTGGTCAGCATCACGCCGGCTGCCTTTATTTTCCAGGACTGCACCCGGTACCCACTCAAGGCTGGTAGTCGACTGGGAGCCAAGGTCATTTTTGAAAATAGTCTGGCTCCGCCAGGGATCGAACCCACGACCTTCTGATCCGCGGCGAGCGTCTAGCCACTCCGCCACGGCGACTCCTTTTGATTTCTTTAACGTATAGTATACTGATGAATCAGAGGAGGTTTCTGACAAGAAGAAGAAGCAGTATACTAGTATTAACAGCAGCAACAACAGCAGTAGTAGGAGGAGGAGTAAAAGAAGAAGACGGAGAAGAAGGAGGAGAAGAAGAAGAAGGAGAGGAGGAAGAAGAGAAAGAAGAAGAAGAAGAAGAAGAACAAGAACAAGAACAAGAAGAACAAGAAGAACAAGAAGAAGAAGAACAAGAAGAACAAGAAGAAAAAAGAAGAAGTCGAGTGGTGATTATGAAAATACGAGGAAATATATCTTCCTTCTTATTGCCAGAAAGGAAACAATTAATGTTGTCTTAACAAATAGCTCATATATTTTGGTCTTGTAGAAATTGTTTCAGTTTTTTTTTTCCTCCTAGAAATGCGTATGTAATAGAGTTTAGTTCAAGTTTTACTCACCAACGTACAAAGCTGCTGTTGCCGACGACAGGCCAAATTTGTACTCGATAAATTTTGGCATGAACGTTGAAAAACCTGAAAGCAGAATGCCTGAAAAAAAAAATAGATACATCACATATCATATTAAATAATTGTAACAAATATAAACAATGTATGTTGTATAAAATACTTAATATTTTAAATTTATTATGAACTTGTATAGACCATATGTTTAAAAAAGAAATTAATACACAAATTGCCCCAGACTCTTTCCCACAGGTCATGTAGGCAGTAGCTTTCCGAAAACTGCTAAATGTCAATGTTGATAATAAGGACTTAAGAGATAATCTGGACAAAAGAATAGACAAAAGACCTGCTTCGAGACAAAAGAGCTTAAATGACATGCTTGCTTGTCTGCAGCTTTCCTGTCCCTGGTCGCTATCTGAAGGTTCAACAAACTCAGATTAAATAATCTCAATAGGGTTGGCATACCAACAAGGCAAATCTCAGATATCTCGCTCAACTACCAAAGAGTTTGTTCATTTTTTAGTACTTTAGTACAGATGTTATCTGCAGTCCTGAAAACCTAGAGTTAGTGATCTTGAATGTATATGTGAACTGCTTCAAATTGGGATGGGATTTTTTGGGAAGTTAATTTAAAGCCCCACCACCGATGTCGACGGGGGCCCTAATATAAACTAACGGTTTAACAAGGTTTTTGGGACTTGTACCCGGGGGAATCTTATCCAAATGCTGGCATTTTGTGTCACCAGATGTTTATCGCTCGCTGTGCGATCACTCGCTCACTCGAATGTCTGTCACTCACTCACTTAAATATACATGATATGATGAATTGTGGGGTGCACTGCTTGCTGGTTTGAAGCAGGGTGACGGTGTGGATACCGGGTGCAGTCCTGGGAAGGTAAGGCGGCCGGCGTAATGCTGACCACATCACCATCTTGTGCCGTTGGTCTACAAAATATAAGTAAAAAAAAGTAAAGTTCCCTTTTCACGCCTTTCGGCGCATCGGGCATATGGGCAGAGCGTGCCATATTTTTACAGACCATCAACACTCTGTGGGTAATGTGGTCAGCATTACGCCGGCTGTCTTTACTTTCCCAGGACAGCCCATCCTGGTACCCATTTTAGGCTGGGTCGACCTGCGACGTCCCATACCACGATAAAAATCCACGCAGCCCACGCAGGTTTCGATCGCGGTATGCTGGCTTACGAGTCGGACTCGCAACGCCTTAGCCACGGACGCCGCCTACAAAACATAGGTCTAGCCCTATATACCCAATACGCCTGAAAGGCGTTGAAAAGGGTCCTTTACTTATAAGTGAACAGGTGAGCATTTAGAAAACAGTTGTAATACCTGCTCTTTCCAATACTCCAGAGTTTGTGATCCTATCCTGCCATGCAACGCCAAGTATTCTTCTTAGGCATCGCATGTAAAATCTATTTAGCCGTTTCTCCTGGTGCGAAAAAGTTGACCAGTTTCACTGCCATAAAAAAAAAGTAAAGAGAACACAAACCTGATAGATACGCATGTTTGTTTCAAGAGTTTTCTGTTTTCCCAAACTCTTTTTGTTATCTGCTCATTGTTGTTGTCGCCTAATCTATGCTGATACTGGTTGCGTAGTCCAACGATAGTTTGTTATTCACTGTGGATCCCTGATATGTAAAACAGTCAACTGTCCCCAGCTTTTTACCATCAATGTAGACAGCATATCTATTAATTAACACCTTTCAGATAATCTGTCTCTTGTAATGAGTTAGCCCAAATTCAAATGATATATCAAGAAAACATTGCAGCTTCTCCTCTGAGTGAGTGTTAATTGCTGTATCATCTGCAAATGATAACTCTCTGATAAGTTTGCATGATCTGAAAATGATTGCTCTGATAAATTTGCATCATCTGCAAATAGAAGCCCTCTGAGAAGTTTGCATCATCTGCAAGTTCAGCCCTCTCTTAAACACCTTTCATATCCTGGTTTTGGCTTTCAGCCTAAAATATATTACAAAAATTAAGGTCCACGGTAAAATAAAAAGCTGATTATGGCAAATTCAAAACAAATCATTTGAAATAAATAGATTATACACGAAGAAGGTCATAACTAACACAAGAAATAATATTTATGACACGTACACTCTTTTATTATTAACACTGAACAAGTACACATAAACACTTACCATCAGCTGCGGCTGCCATATTGATCAGCATAAAGGGAACATTGGTCAACAAATATTTGATAGACAGTAAAATATCCATGAACCCACGATGCTGCCCAGTTTTATCGATGTTCGCAGAAACCTGTGTCTCTTTGCCTCGTTCAGACGCGTACTTCTTGGATCCTTAAACAGAATTATATATAGTCTAAAAATCGTTACGTATTTCTGTATAGTTCAAACATTGTTTCTGTTGAATCATATGCCAGTGAAACGTAAAAGAGACGGAATTTGAAATGAACGTAATAAACATTCGAAAACAAATGCCTTAGGAAATTATTGAATACTAATGGATACATTAAAAAGGGATGAAGAACAAGAGAAATATCAGGATAATAACTGGTTTCAACTGTTATAAGAGAAACAGGGAGGTAATATATTGGATACATAATGAAGCAAAACGAACAATTACTAAACAGGATAGCAATGGATGTGAAAAAGATTTGAAGAACCCTAATTTTAAAGAGCTAGATACTTGTCTAAAGCTGTGAGAGAGACTAGACTCCGTGTATGATACTGAAACAGTTGCACCGGACAAGCGAATCTTATGTGGCGTATAACGAACGAACGAACAAACTTTATTTTTAAAGGGTTAAGAATTGGGCACGCAGGCCCGTCTAACGTTCTGCCCTTCGAGGTCTCACTCCGTTCTTACATCATTTCATCCACACATCAAGTAATATTAAAAGTTAGCAATGGCATTAAAATAATCAATACAAGCACTGGAATGTGCACATTCCTAACCATTAAAACTTAACAGTTGTAACAAATCTAGGGAAAATGTGCGCTATTTTTCACATGTTTTATCTTCTATGGGGGCATAAAATCGGTGCTCAAATAATAGTCGAACAGTTTCCGATTGTATGTATAGGGACTAGTAGTACTTTTCATTTGCAGTGGCAGATAGTTCCACAACTGAGCTGCGGAATATGCACAGCAAAACATGATGCTCATGACCTGAAAATTAGTAGAAGACTAGTACTGAAACCAGTCATATAATTCTGAACCAGCAACAGATGGTATGTCCCGGCACCATCTGCTACACAGAGCCTGAAATATAGTTAACACAGAGCAAGGGGAAGACCAGGCTAACGATATACCGACCGCCTCTTAGAAATAAGCGAGGCATAAGAAATCACACACAGAAGATCTGGAAAAACTACGAAAGCTACAAATCAATGACAAATAGGTAACTTAAAGTAACTTCTACACGCACAGACATGAATTCCATGAACAAACGTAATGATTTAGATCTCATCTCATCTGATCTTGATCCTCTTGTACGTTGCCGTGTCGAGGCAAACAAAGTATAATTTACGGGAAAGCGCCCATTTGTGCGCTTCCCCAATTGCGATTATCGAGGACTCTATAATTCCCTCTGTCCATCGCTAGCATGGCCGGCCTCTTCTTCGCTTCCCGTCTGGTGTGTACATAATGGTAAACTGTCTGCTAACATCAGCGTTATTTAGGCAAACCATTTTACCTGTTGTCTGCCGTTGAAATCCAGAGCTGCTGCCCCTCACATTTTCCTTCGGATTTAATCGTTTCTGATCTTATCTCTTCATATTATATTGAGAATTATAGTAATAATTTCTTTAAAACTTCAAAAAACATCCATGCTTTTCTTGAACTAACCTGGTAAACTCTTTGGGAAAGCCAACAACGGTAAAGACAATAACACAGCCATGGTCCCACTGATCAAGAAACCAATCCACCATGCACCCACCCACTTTGGATTGTTAGTGTCTAGTCCAAGGCTGTTATAAATAAAATAGAACAAAAAAATGTGACGAGGTTTGGCTATCTCTCGAAAAAGCCACGTTTGCCCTTTGTAAATTAGAAATAAGAAATCAGACGAATGCTAGGAATAAAACCAGTCTTACAGATCATCAAAGAACAACAAATGAAGTGCTTTGGACACTCAACAAGAATGCTATGGTACTATCTACCACAGCGAGCCTGCAATGTTTGCTAGGGGTTTGTTTCTACACGCCACATTGCTGTATTGACGAACACTTGGTTGCTACTACACACCAGAAACGAATGTTCAGTTATAGAGCTTTATTCGCTGAATCAAACATCTCACTGACGGCGAATTCTTTCGTCCTCGTGGTCGCTATCTTCTTCTTCACTTCCTCTTTTACCGCTGTGGGTGTCGAGGGAGATATAAGGTTCTGTTTCTAGCTCTTCTGGCTGCCTCGACCATAGGCACATCGTGCTGTTGTAGAGTTTCTCTTATGTTATCCTTCCATCTTGTTCTTGGTCTACCCCGTGCTCTACGTCCTTCTTCTCTTCCCATGTATGCTTTGTATGGTATGGTGTCACAAGGCATTCTCTCTAAGTGGGCAAACCATTTCACTTGCTGTCTTTGTATGTAATCCAGAATTGGTTCTGTGCCGACTTGTTCTCTTATGATCTCATTCCTGATCTTATCTCTTATGGTCACTCCTACAGCCCTTCTCAGACATCTCATTTCCGTTGTTACTAATTTTCTTTTATGGTTTGTTGTGAGTGACCATGTCTGGCACTGGTAGCACAGAGTTGGAATAAATATGCTTTGAATAAGATGTTTCTTTGTGCTGATTGGGATTGTCTTATGCTGTAAGAGGGGGGCTAGCTGTCCCAATACTTGGTTTGCTTTACTGCATCTAATGTCAATTTCTTTATCCAATTTCCCATCTTCGGTAAATGTAGTTCCCAGATATTTAAACTCAGATGCCTGTTTAATGCCTTTGTATTCTATTGTAATGTTTAGATCTGTCTTCTTTTTTCCTATTGACATTACTTCTGTCTTTTCAGTGTTGATTCTCATATTATTTGTTTTACATTCTTCATTCATGGATGTTAGATGTTGTTGCAATTTCATGGCTGTATCTGCTATCAAGGCCTGGTCATCTGCAAAGAGTAATTCGTTGATCTTACTAAGATCTTCATTCATGGGCTTGACATTCTTGCATATACTGTCGATGTAGGTGATAAACAGCAGTGGTGATAAGACACACCCCTGTCTTACTCCAGATGTCACTGTGAAAGGATGAGATGTTCCCTGATTTATTCTAACTACACTTCTACAATCCCTGTATAAACTTTTGCACACTTCGATGAGGTGTTCGCTTACTCCATATCTTGCCATTATTTTCCATAATAATTGTCTGTCGACTCTGTCAAATGCCTTCTCCTGGTCTACGAAAGTCACAAATAAGTTCTTATTGTATTCAATGTTCTTTTCTATTAACTGTTTAAGTGTGAAGATTGCATCTGTGCAGCTTCTATTTCTCCTAAATCCCATCTGTTCTTCTGCCAGCTGTGGTTCTATCACTGGTCTCAGTCTTGTTTCTATTATCTTGGCATACATTTTGCCAACATGGCTTAAAAGAGAGATGCCTCGATATTGACCGCATTCTCGTTTGCTTCTTTTGTCCTTCCACAATGGTATAACTATTGCATGTTGCCAATCAATAGGGGCCGTTTGTTGTACCCATGCTGCATTGAATATTCCGTGAAGCCATCTGATGCTGCTTTCACCTGCTGCTTGAATTATTTCTGTTGGTAATCTATCAGCTCCTGGTCGCTATGCGTGGCTGATTTCTGACGACCTGGCCAAATCTCTCACACACTGCTTTGATCCATCCGTATCTCTCGGATCACACATCCATATCATACTAAAGCCTGGCAATTAGTATTAGTACATGTTGAAACTGGGAATTAGCAAAAATTCATGTTTTCTCTCGATCAATTATACCCCCCCCCCCCATAAGAAACAACAGCCCCCCAATACCCTCCGACACTTCACTGAGGTACAAGGTGGGAGAGGAGGAGGAGGTGGAGAAGAAGAAGAAGAAGAAGAAGAAGAAGAAGAAGAAGAAGAAGAAGAAGAAGAAGAAGAAGAAGAAGAAGAAGAAGAAGAAGAAGAAGAAGAAGAAGAAGAAGAAGAAGAAGAAGAAGAAGAAGAAGAAGAAGAAGAAGAAGAAGAAGAAGAAGAAGAAGAAGAAAAAGAAGAACTAGTCAACCGAAGACGTCAGGGCCGTATTCAGCCCGTCTAAGGCACCCGAGCAGTCATTTGGTTTACACCGCCTCTTGTGGCTAACAAAAACAGCACCAAACTAACGCTAGAAAGCTAACCTAATTTAGCTTTCAGAATGATATAATACAAATATTGAACAATGTTATTGTTAACTATTAGTTATATTTTGCCGCCCTAACAATGTTGCTGCAGGGCGCAGCTGCACATGTTTGTATATGTATAACTACGGTCTTGCATGCTATAGATGACACAATTTATTGTCTGGAAAATGCTGCTGTATCTCATTAGTGGCACATTATACAATAAACATGACACGGCAAGCAGGAGAATCCTTCCATTTGAAATGCAGATATTCTATACACTGGTTATCACGACAAATGCAAATTTACAACCACACCTGGAAAAAGAGACTAACCTGAAAAGAATAGACCCACTGGCCCCCTAATAAACATGCCGTACAAGGCAACTAATTAGGTGTTTGTTGACATAAGATGTGTTGAACTGAAAGGCGCATATATCGCAGCCTAGCTATAAAGCACAAAACAATGTTCGAGCCGCCCTTTAGAGGTCGGACACAGAAGCTAAACATATACAACTGTAGGGGGGCAGGGAAATTTCTGGCGTGAGAGCAATTCTTCTATAAATTGTTATCGGCATGTTGCAATGCCAGTTTGTACGAAACTGGGAAATAAAATCAAGAAAAGAGCAAACAGAAGTTTGTCAGAGAACAACTAAGGCAAGAAATATAAAATATTTCAGATCCATTACAGTCCCTCCCCTTCCTTTCACCGGGTAGGTCGCGCTTCAGAATCATACTTTTAAATGTGCTTTATTCAACACATAATTTGTTCTGTGCATGATAAACAGTGATGAAAATGATATTGATAATTATAATACTAATAATAAAAATATATAAATAATTGTTGACTTCATAACACATCTATGATATATTGTGTAGCTTTCCTCGTGTGGGTTCCTGGGCCCCATGAAAGGGAAAAACAAGAATAGATCAGTGATTTACCCAACAGGCATGTCACAGAAGTCCACTAATTGGAAGCTTCGTTAGGCTACTATTTTCGATTTTCAACTGCCAAAGGATTTTTTTTACGCGCGAAACATTGCACACGGGCGTCGGATCTCACTACCTAGAGACCAGTGGGAATTACTAGAAGTCGAAGTCCACGTGAAAAAATCCCAGCCCTTACCGTGGATTGAACGCGGAACCTCTAGCACTCGAGGCGGGACGCCATGCCTCGAGACCAGGCAGCACCCTAGACATTAAACGAACTTGTATTGACAGGTAATCATAGAAGGAAGTCGAAAGTTGCAAGGATAAACTGGACATTACTGTCTGGTGTTTTTATAATTGTTGGTCTGTTTGTTTTTGTTAATTATTTCTATTTCTGTAACCCATGGTGCGATTTCAATGGTTTAAGATTAATTATGTCCGTACTCCAAGCAATAATTGTTATTTTGAATTATTAGTGTGGGCTGGTAGGCACATACATATAATAATATTTTAGAAATAATATGAAATGTGTAAGCATTGCTTAAAAAGAGAAACGTCTGTACACAGTAAGGGTTCGCCTCCCTCCTCCCTCCACCCCTCCCCGCTAAGAATGTGATAAAGAGATAGCAACCCTCGTTAACGATGTAAATTCCTGCTCAAATAGTTTTGAACATTCATCGTAATCGTCATCTCCTTGTGGGATGCAGTTTTTAGTTATTTTGACGCCCCACCCTGGCTTTTGCCGGGGGCCGCAATATAACCCGGCCCTTAAATATGGCCTAATGGCTAAATGGTGTTTCCCAGACCTCTCCACGTGAGATCCTCATCCGCATGGTGGCACTTTGTGTCACTGGGTGTTTATCGCTTGTGTGATTTCCTAGTGGGGTACAACCTACTTACCTACATTTAACATTACATATTATCTCAGGTGTACTATTATGGTTATTAACCATTCAGCCCATAATTATTTTTATTATTATTGTCTTAAACTAGGACTAGACCCTTTGAGACTACACACTCTTTTGCCTAGAAAATTGTATGGCCTGGGGGTGGGGGGGGGGTGGAAGGGGCACTCTTGTGTGTGTGTGTGTGTGTGTGTTTTGTGTGTGTGTGTGTTTTAGGTGTGTGCGTTGTAGACACACCTAAAACTTTTTTTCTTTAGGTATGTCTAGTGACTTCCTAGTCCCTTCCACGGCTCGATTTTTGTATATTCCGCCTATCTGTCTCCACTGTCTGTTTTACCATTTTTGTAGAGCGATGTAGACAGGGGGTTGTGAGCCTGAAGATTTAGGACCGCGTGGCTGGTGCTGTCGCCACGGACTGTGGAGGTCAGGATGTTTAATTATGCCGCCGAAAAAGAAAAAAAAAAACAGCTCCATTACCTTACCAGGATCTAACCTGGGCCTCCCGCATACAAGCAAGACGTTATAACCACTTGGCCAGCCCACTGTCTAGTAACCACAGTAACATATTTTCTGTTGCCGTCCACAGGAGAAATCTAACCCTAGTACTCGAGATCTTGTAACTGTTAAACTTAACCCTAAGCCACATAGCAGTATTTGCTTCATCTAGGAAAAAAGCAATTACCTTTTTGGGTCTACATCGATTTCAACGTACATTTCTAGAAACTTGGCTCCTAGTATGTAGCCTATTGCAGGCCCCACAATAGAGCCTGTATAAAATATACCTGCAATGAAAAAAAGCGAACGTTTAGTTAACTCTAACAGTCTGTGAATACTTAACTTATTCTATCCTACTAAGTTCCAGTTCAACTCTTTCATTCCCATATCATTATGGTCTGAAGAGAATGGCGATGAGGGGAATACGAGGGAATCTGGCTGACTTTCAACACTCAGGGGAAAGGCGAGACAGATGTACAATCAGACAGTTACTGATGCCATCGGAAGTAGAACTTTTCGCTTGTTGCTGAAAATGGGGACGGAGCGCTTATTGGAGTGACCCGAGTGCTATGATTAAGATTTTTGATTCAGCATTGAGCATTTTTTCATTTCTAGTAGTTCCAACAGCAGATTTCAAAGAAGGCAGCAAGAACAATGAGAAAATGTTGAGTGTGTTAGTTTCAAGAATGAACAGACACAAATGAGACCTGTCAAAATATCTTATCATATTACTTAGTATATTCAGACCAACCGTAAACGATATATTAACATAAGTATCGTGGTTTAATAGAAGCCGCCGAGGTCTACCGGTTAGACCCTAGCCTGCGAATCGGAAGGTCGTGGGTTCGGGTCCTGACAGGGCCTTAGCTCCCAGGTCGACCCAGCTTTGAGTGGGTACGAGGTATAGTCCGGGGAGGTAAACGCGGCCGGCTTGATGCTGACCACATCACCCACTAAATGCCGTTTGGTCTATAAAATATAGGTCTAGCCCTATATACCGGATACGCCTAAAGGCGTAGAAATGGGTCCTTTACTTATTTTTTTTTTAGTGTGGTTTAATACACGTGGACAATACAGTGGAACCTCGCTTTAAGAGCATAATTCGTCCCAGAATCATACTCGTTAAGCGAAACACTCGGTATGCGAAACAATTTTTCTCATATAAATTAATGTAAAATACGATAATGCGTTCGATGTAAAAAAAAAAAAAAAATACTTACAAAATGCTTTGTATAACGTTAATTCAAAGAAAATTATATACATATTGTTAAGGAGAGTGAATCATCATCATCTTTTCTTCAAACGTGGAACGAACCCACCTGGAATGCGAATTCGATTTGGAGAAAAAAATCATAATAATTATGATACATAGCCAATTATTTTTTTTTTTTACTAGAAAGATATCCAGAGACAATTGTTTTTGCCGACGCTTCAAAGTTTGGCGAAAATGCGACACAGCATTATCATTAAATAAATTTGCAACGCCACTTCCTTATTAGGGTGATGCTTCTCAATGTAAGATGCAACAGTTTGCCATGCTTTCAGCATTTCTCTTATTTCGCCAGAAGTTGCTGCTTTTCTGTTACCTCCTCCTCTGACAAACTTTCCTCCCAAACTTCTTGCTGTGAAACACAATGCAACTCCATAAACTCTTGGGTGGTCAGCTCTTGGCTGTGCTCTTCCACAAGCTCTTTCTGTTATCCACCTACAATCCCATGATAGTGGCGAAAGACACAATCTCGTTTACTACCGGTTCCAAAGGTACTGTCTCGAACCCCTCAAAGTCACAAATCGACAACGTTTTCCAGCCAAAGCTTCTTCCAAACAGAAGTTAGGGTTCTCTTGGTAACCCCTTCCTCCGCCTTGTCGATCATCTTGAGGCAGGCAACGATGTGGAAGTGATTTTTCTAAAACTCTTTGAGAGTAAGGTTGGCCTCTTCAGTCACCTAAAAACAATGCTTGAAGAGTGCTTTAGTGTAGAGCTTCTTAAAGTTAGAAATAACTTGCTAGGCCATATGCTGGAGTAACGGAGTGGTGTTGGGAGGCAGAAACTGGACCTTGATGAAACTAAATTCTTCAGAGAGGTCATCTTGTAGGCCTGGAGAATGCATGTACATATTTTACAATATAATACAAGTTTATGAGAAAATGTGTGATCACAAGCGACACTACGATGCTACTGGAACGAGTGCTAAACACAGACTGATGTAACAGGCGCACAAATCGGGACTTCCCCTCTCCTCGCCACTCGTTATGCGAAACGTCGCTCGTTAAGCAAATCATTTTTTTTTTTTTACAATTTATTTTGCTCGTTATGCGAATTACTCGTTATGAGAGGTGCTTGTTAAGCGACTTTCTACTGTATTTGAACACACATGGTACGTAAGGACTAAAAAGTTGATATAATCAACATCTGAGTACAATGGCATTCGAATAATAACACTGTTGGTCAGAAGAGAACAGACAAAGAGAGACACACTGGTCCTCAAGGTTGGAGGCTGAAGAGTGGGGTCGGTTTCTCGTAAAACTGCATTTCGTCGCGACACAGATAGTTAATTGATTTAAAGGTCATGAAAAGATATAAAACCAAAGTATCACCTGTCAGCTTTCCATTATCACTATCATCGTGCGGGTTCTAGGCCCCATTGTGGGAGGGGGGGGGGGATAATACACACACTGTATCTCTCCCCTTTGTTCCTAACAAACATGTCGTATGAGTCTAATTAGGGGAGCTTCCTTTGAAGCCGTAGTGCATCTGCTTAAGAACTGATTAGGCAACAGTCTACATATAGATCGGTAGAATGGACAGGCATGCCAAAATCAAGTATTGTGCACGTCAAATTTAGGTTCTGGAAAAGGATTAAAATCCAAACGTGGACGAACAACCACTTTCCGCGGGAGTTTAAAACTGGGAAATACAAAGAAGAATTAAACATTATCACAAACATACATGACAAGTAACCGTTGCGACTAGAAATCAGCACATTACGTGAATAGATAATGTTACAATTACGCAGCAGAATACACAACATCAAGTAACAGCAGAAATACCTATAGAAATCAACACATATGTCTGGTCAGGCGAAGCGATGACACGCACCTGAACGTATTAAATTGTTGACTAGCCTGAAAAAGCTGTGACAGGCAAGGGCCGAAACTAAAATTTAGATTGTGTTTGAAGTTAAACTTCCTACAATGACCCTGCACCCTGAAATATACAGACAGCACTATAACACTTGAGGTCACCAGTTGGCAAGAGAAGGACAATGCAAAAGATGAATGAAGGATGAACCAACAGTTTAGGAAAAAAAAAATGTATATATAAAATGTATATATATTTTCCCTGTGTGGGTTCCTATTATAAGGAAAACATGAAATGACCCACTTTCTACCCAAAAGCATGTCTAAAGAATCGACTAATTGGGAGCTTCTTTCGAAGTCGGAGTGCATCTGCCCGAGAGGCAAGAAACCAGCAGTCTGCATACAAACGAGTTAGATATGTAAAAGGGATGCACACGCAACACTCAGGTTCTGGAAGAGGACTGCAGTCTAAATGTGGATGAACATCCAGAACTTTCGACTAAAGTTTAAAGCCGGTGAACGTGAAGATGAAGAAGAAGATATACTTCTATAGTTCGTATATGTACCGTTCCATAGAACAGCTAACGCATTTTTAAAGCGTGGCACAAAGCACGAATTCTGTGTCACCAGCGATCATCCGAGATAAGATCATTTTCCGATATGATTAGTGAATGTAACAATACTTAAAAGTGACAGAATAAATGCGACAGAAGAAGGCCAGTTTATATAATGTCTTTGGACTATCCAGTGATCGTATGGTGAGTTGCTTACTACCGAAAGAGTAAACTGAAAGTTAATTGAGTAAAGGGCCCGACTGTGCCAGTGACAGACACATCGGGTACATGATAACAGACTCGTGTTAGAGACGCCAACTAGCACTTGGTGGGTAATGTGGTCAACATCACACAGCCTCCATTACTTCTCCTGGCGGTATTTGGTACATACTTTAGGTAGGGTCGATCTGACACTAATATCTATGTAGGTTGGGGGAGGGTCCCCTCGATGAGGACTGGAACCCAAGAGCTTCGAGACGCAGGTGAGAGCCACTACGCAGCCGCGGCTCCAAACGTATACTCGAAGATATAGAATAAACCAGGTGACCCCAAATATAGTCAGGTATTACGGTACACAAATGGAGACGGAATGGACTTTATGGTACAAACAGATCTGTGAAACGGAGGCACATGCAACACTCAGGTTCTGGAACAGGACTGCAGTCCAGAAGTGGACGAACAACCAGAACTTTCCACAGGAGTTTACAGCCGGTGAACGCGAAGAAGAAGAAGAGGATGGTACTCTGTTTTTATCACACATGATTTTGTCTCTCTTGGAACAATGGCCGCTCGTCTGTTCAGAGAGCCACATTAAACTCCTTAGCTCCTGCTGCAAAAGATATTCGAAACACCTGCAGAAACGGCCCTAATTTAGTCGTCCTTTACGGCATGCTTATTAGGGAGTCAGTGGGTCTATTCTTCTTTCCCCTGAAATAGGGCCCTAGAGACACAGAGTTAAAACGTCTTCTGGCTATAGTGTGTGTCATAGGTGCCAGAACATGACGGGACAAGCACCCTGAGCGCCTTTTTTCCAATAATGTTAGAGGGTTGACCATCCCTCCTTTGTTGTTTACAATTTCGTGGTGGGGTTTAAAAAAGGGGTGGGGGTGGGGGGGGGGGGGGGGGGGGGGGGGTGTTTGGGAGCTGAAAACCTTCAGATCTGATTTTCTTATCTCTTGGTATCACATTATCAAGAATAACACGATTATATCACAGTGATCGTGATCTCATTACATTCTGAAGTTTCAACTTTCTGAACCAGCAACCAGTGAGCTTCTATCTACTAGACCACAAGCCCCATACGTTTCTAAATGTTCGCTGTTTGTAAGGAACACTGTCCTCACACACGAGTTTAGCGGATCGGTGCAGTTGTTAAGTTTATCGGAATACGCTTTTATTCCGTACATACAATACAAATATTTCATATCTCGGGTCTCCGTGGCAAAGCGGTTAAGCTGTTTGCCTCGCGTTCTGAAGGTCGTGGATTTGTTTCACTGCTTCGCCATTCAGTTCACGAGTGCCCTTTTTAGAGCGATCCATGTTGATCGTCGCCGAACTATGGAGAACGTACTTTGTGTGGCAGTTTCGGCAGGCAGCTAGCCATTCTGCACAGAGAGACTGAGCCATATGGAATAAAACCCGGTGTGATAAAATCGATTTGAAGTGTAATCAATGTAAAGGTCCCTCTTCTACGCGGATTGGGCATATAGGGAGCGCTAGACCTATATTTGTATAGACCAATCGGCACTTGGTTGGTGATGTGGTCAGCAATACGCCGACCGCCTTTACTTCCCAGGAGTACACCTGGTACCCGGTCAAGGCTGGACGACCTGGGAGTAAAAGTCATTTTTTTTTTAAAAAGTCCGACTCGGTCAGGCCACGACCTTCCGATCCGCAGGCGGGGCGTCTAGTCGCCAACACCACGGTGACTCCAAGATGTGAATGTTCAAAATTTAATTTCTGCTTCTTCATTATTCACTGAGAAAATAAAATGTCGTGTATCACTTTCAGTAACTGCATTGCGCGCGCGCACGCACGCACACACACACACACACACACACACTCACACACACACACATATATATATATATATATATATATATAATTGTCAGAGTTATTGGAATTAAAATTGATAAAATTCTCAAATTATACATTTCACATGAAATCCAACAGGTATTATTATATTGCAGAAGACTTACCATTGCAAAATGCAGACGAACGTTGCGACACATTCTCATCTATGTACGTGGCACCAAGTGTATACAAGGGAGTAGCCCCGGCGCCATGCAACAGTTGACCCAAATAAAATAGGTATTTGTAATTGGATAAACTAGAAGAGCTTCCGGAGTTACATTCAGTGGTTCTGTTGGAATCCGGCTCACATAACAGCTCACTGGCGTCCTCCAAAAGGTACTTGCCGGTGACAAAATGTGGCAAAGTGAACACAAAGGACCCTAGACCAAGCACAAATAATCCAATACCTGAAACAGTGACAGAAGAGAGAGATTAATAGAACTTCTCTTTTTCTTCTACTTGTTCTTCTTGTTCTTCTTCTTCTTGTTCTTCTTGTTCTTCTTGTTTTTGTTCTTCTTCTAGTTCTTCTTCTTGTTCTTCTTGTTATCGTTCTTCTTCTTCTTCTTCTTCTTCTTCTTCTTCTTCTTCTTCTTCTTCTTCTTCTTCTTCTTCTTCTTCTTCTTCTTCTTCTTCTTCTTCTTCTTCTTCTTCTTATTATTATTATTATTATTATTATTATTATTATTATTATTATTATTATTATTATTATTTTACGGTTGTTGCTACTACTGATGCTGATGTTAAGACTTCTTCATCTCCTCCTCCTCCTCCTCCTTTTCTTTCTCTTCCTCCTTCTTCTTCAACCATACCCATTTACTCATCACTATGCTCCTCTACCAACACATCCAGCATTTTCAAGTTCTGTCAATCTCTGTCTCTAACACCCTTAATATTCTCAGGTATCACAAAGTTATCACACAATTTTTTTCTCACATCTGAACAACAAACCATGAACGTCCTGGTCTGTTGTGAATAATTGTCTCTCCCTCTCTTTGTATCTTTAAGATTTGCTGATTTTTTTTTTTTTTTTCATTTAACAAGGCGAACAAGCATTGGTAAGGGATACAATTCTAAGAGGTTCGTTGTGGTGAGCGCCCCTTCTCTTAGGAAATGCTTCGTGCTGATGTGTATTTTATAACCGACATGTTATTCTGAACCAGCTCTTTGGTATCTCCGTGATCATTTAATATAACTGAACAGATCAGGGAACGCTTGAGCGGCAGTGGAGATTCTGTTTCTAAGACTAATGTTTTGAATACTTTAAGTTGTCAAACAATTAACAAAGAACAGCATGAAAAAAGACATTGCAGAAATTATGAAAGGTTGACAGTGATCGTTAGTTATATAATGACAGCACGATTTTTGAGAAGATAATGATGATTGACAATATCAGTAGTAGAAGAGGCAAACGAAGACACACAGAAAAGAAATTGGATGGTTAAGGCAATGGAATGGAACAACATCATTAAAAGCTTTATTTTTTTTTCAAATGTATGCATTCGGCAAGACCAGGATAACAATGGTATTAACAACAAATGGTTCACAGTGGCATTAAATCATCATCATCATCAGTTCTCGTTGTGCCTAGTGGCACATGAGGCTTCTGAGAGAACTTTCCATGCTTTCCTGTCCTGCGCAATCTTCAGTGCAGTTTTCCATGTCAAAGATGCGGCACCCAGGTCACTTTCGTTCGTCTCCATGTTGTTTTTGGGCGCCCCTGTTTTCTCTTTTCCTCTGGTGTCCATATGAGAGCTGTTTTGGCAGTATATCAGGATTCATTCTCATAACGTGGCCAAGCCATTTCCATCTTCTCTTGGTTATCATACTGTCTAAAGTTTCTCGGTTTGTGACTTGAAGTAGTTTAGTGTTTGAGATTGTATTTGGCCGGAAAATTTTGATAATTTTTCGTAGACATGTGTGGTGGAAGGTGGACAACTTGTGTGCATCCTTTCTGGTCATTCTCCAGCATTCCGCTCCATAAAGAAGAATTGGCAAAATGATGCTCTTGTAGAGTCGGAGTTTCGTTCCTCTGCAGTAATTGTTGGATTTCCAGATTTGCCTCATCCTTCCAAAAACAGCTCTAGCTTTGTTCAGACGTGACTGTATGTCCTCTTCGGTCCCTCCCGGCAGGGACACCACACTGCCAAGATATGTGAAATGTTCTACATTTTCAAGAGTTTGGTTATTTATGGTCACTGGTTGTTGGTTTGGACTGCTTGTCATGATCTTAGTTTTCTTTGTATGTATTCTCAGTGCCACCATTTCTGCTGTGCTGTGTAGTCTGTTACTTTTTTCTTGTATATGTTCATGTTTATGTGATAGGAGGGCTATATTATCTGCAAAATCAAGGTCCTCAAGCATGGTGAATGGGGTCCATCGTATGCCTCTCAATGTCCTGTCTACTGTGTTCTTTAGTTTCCAATCAATCACAAGGTTGAAGAGGAGAGATGACATAACACATCCCTGTCTTACACCTGTCTTTACTGGGAAAGATGTATTGTAATTTTTATACTGCAGGAAAAGTCTTTATAGAAGAGAGCAATTATGTTGACTATTTTTTCTGGAATTCCATAATGTCGTAACATTTTCCATAGACTGTCTCTATGGACGCTGTCAAAAGCTTTCTCGAAGTCCATAAAATGTACATATATACTTCTCTGCCATTCATTGCATTGTTCTAAAATGTTACGTATAGTGGCATTCAATAGTTCCCCCCCCCCTCCCCCCCCCCCCAAAAAAAAGTACAAGAAAAGAATATCGGAAAAAATAAAACATCTGCCCCCCCCCCCCCCCCCAAAAAAAAAAAAGTAGCTGCATTTCTATACACTGGTTGCTGGGGGTGGGGGTGGGGTGGGGGGGGGGTGAAGGGGAAGGCTGACTGAAAGTGATCCTCGGTGCTCTGTATGTTTAGTTTAGTTTAGTTTAGTTTATAAAACGGATCAACATCATGGCACATGACAGTAACCCTTAAATGTTCTGTTCTACTGCTAACTCAAGCCTGAGTCCGAAGAATCTCAGAGCACTGCACGAACTCCGTAGCACCGACCAGAATCCTTTAATACTTAGGGAAGATTTTTAACTCAACATTTTGCCAGGGCAGTGCCGTTAGGCTGCTCTTTTTGATTTCTAACTTTCAAGATATTTTGTACGTGCGCAACAATACACACATGTGTCCGATCTTACTACCTAGAGACCAGATGAAATTACCAAAAGTCCACGTTAAAAAAAAATCCAACCTTCACAGGGGCCTGAGGCCGGCACTTCCAGCACTCGCGACCGTCATGCTTCGAGACCACTCAGCCACCTGCTCTGTATGTACTGGCTCAACACTCTGGGAGACTGCTGTTCGTCCGTCTCGTCTTGTTTTCCACATTTATATAGATGTTTACCCCTCGCTTTAATTTTTTGCCCTCTACCGTGGTTTCAAAAAGGTGCAATGGTTGTAATGTGGCCGAAAGGTTTACTCATCTTCATTTCTTTCATTAATCAAATTTTCATACCTAGTTTTTGTTTAACAGTAATATGTCTAATGCAAAAGTATGGTGAAGACGTTTAAAGTATGAGGAGGAGGATGAGGAGGAGGAAAGGAGAAGCAACAGAAGTAGAAGGATTAGCAGGAGAAAAAACAAGAGGAGCAGAAGGAGAAAACAGTAGTAGTAGTAGTAGTAGTAGTAGTAGTAGTAGTAGTAGTAGTATTAGTAGTAGTAGTAGTAGTAGTAGTAGTAGTAGTAGTAGTATTAGTAGTAGTAGTAGTAGTAGTAGTAGTAGTAGTGGTTGTGTTAGTAGTAGTAGTAGTAGTAGTAGTAGTAGTAGTAGTAGTAGTAGTAGTAGTAGTAGTAGTAGTAGTAGTAGTAGTAGTAGTAGTAGTAGTAGTAGGTAGTAGTAATAGTAGTAGTCGTGGTGGTGGTTGTGTTAGTAGTAGTAGGAGTAGTAGTAGTAGTAGTAGTAGTAGTAGTAGTAGTAGTAGTAGTAGTAGTAGTAGTAGTAGTAGTAGTTGTAGTAGTAGTAGTAGTAGTAGTAGTAGTAGTGGTAGTAGTAGTAGTGGTGGTAGTAGTAGTAGTATTAGTAGTAGTAGTAGTAGTAGTAGTAGTAGTAGTAGTAGTAGTAGTAGTAGTAGTAGTAGTAGTAGTAGTAGTAGTAGTAGTAGTAGTAGCAGTAGTAGTAGTAGTAGTAGTAATAGACAAGCAAAAAATGTATGCTGGCAGATATCAAAGCGAGCTTGTCAAAGCATTCGCTACATAGTATACAGGGTAAATGCTGTATAGTAAACCAAAGGGTCTGAAAGCTCTTCCTTTACCGTGGACAGAACATTGTTCGCGGGGGTTCTGGTATGACAATAATTTACACATTTTCCCCACACTTACCTAAGTATCTAGGCTTGTGGCCATGACCCCCAAAATATGATACAGGAATCACTAGGATAACAAACATGATGTCATAGCAACTGGCTATCAGCCCGGATTCTGTACTGCTCAGTTCAAATCGTCTTTCAACCGTTGATATAACTGTGTGGACGAATCCGTTTACTGCCATCCCCTGGAAAGTAAGTTTATTGAGTAAAATGAATCTGGTGAAGGTTTATTTAAATAACGGTTCTGCACAATAGGCATCTTTAGGGCAGTAATTTTTTTCTTTTCTCGGAACATGTAACGAACTCATGCCCAGCTCCACACTTATGAGTGGCGAAGTTGCGCCAGGACACTGTGATTGGACGTTGATACATGCGTGTTAACCTTTGAGGGACGTAAGTTTAAGTGGTGAGGAGGTCAGGCTGGTGCGACGTTGTGTTGTCTGAACGGTCTTACCGGCGATCACGCGTGCAGGGTGTGAGAGGTTTAAACGACCCCATAGCATGTACAACTAGTGCTAACCCCACCCCCTACCCCACAAACTAAACCTAGGTCCCATGAAAGAGTGCATTCTTCAACCCTCTTACATAGACCAGGCTGACCAATCATCAATTACAGGTCGCTAGTGTGTAGCTGGGTGGAGCAGGGCGTGAGTTCGTTACTAGTTCCTTTTTTTCCTTTTCGGTTAAAATCTTTGTTCCCCTGGGCATCGCAGTTTAACGGATGATAGGTAGCCAAACACGGGTGCACTCGGTTGTTTTGTAAACTGTGATGTTATGAGGTCTTAAGCTGTCAATGACTCCTTCCATCCATGTTTCTCTAGGTTTGCCTCTGCTTCTTGGCGTTTCCATTGTTATGTTGTACGCTTTCGCTTATAGCATTGTTGAGTTCATTCTCACTAGGCTGCCGAATCATTACACTCTTTATTTCTCAATGAATTTAGTTACATGTATTGTTCCAATATACACACACTTTAACCTATAGTTAATTTATAATTTGGAAACATACCCACATGTGTTTTGTTTTGAATGCAGTTTCGCAATCCAGATATAGGGTTTAAAATTCGCTATAATCAATTTAATAGCTGACCTATTTGTAATGCATTTTTAAATGGTGTGAGTGTCGTACCGTATATATATATATATATATATATATATATATATATATATATATATATATATATATATATATATATAACATGACAAACTATTAAAGGTAAATTTACCTAGCGCTTAGCAAAATTACAAATAGCCACCAAACGCTGGGGGTTGTTTGTAATATTCTGAAAAGAATAGGCAAAAGCTTTTGACGCTCCATAGTCTGGAGAGGATAGGCAACTAACGGTTTACGCTCCATTCTCTGAAGAGGATAGGGAACTAACGTTTTACGCTCTATATTCTGAAGAGGATAGGCAACTAACGTTTTACGCTCCATATTCTGAAGAGGATAGTCAGCTAATGTTTTATGCTCTATATTCTGAAGACGGTTAGTAACTAACGTTTTACGCTCTATATTCTGGAGAGGATAGGCAACTAACATTACACGCTCCATATTTTGAAAAAGATAGTCAGCTGACGTTTTACGCTCCTATAGGAAAAGCCGTCGTAATCTGTGTATTCACAGAGTATTCTTGTTAACATTACAGTCTCCATGGATTGGTGCGATATTTGGAGTGGTCTAAAAAAGATCTGGACATTTAAGGATCTAACACTGTCCGATAGCAAATATATTTTTTCCTGAAATGCCATGCCATTGTCTGGCTGTATTCTCACTAAATGATGTCTGGCTGCATTCTCACCAGATGACCGAACCATTTGATTCTTTGTCAACATAATCCAAACATTGTCTTATTTGGACTTTCTCTCTAATTCTATTTGTAACCATGTCTCTTCTTGTGTTGCAAGTGAACTTAAAGAGCAGCGCCTTTCACATGTGGTTATTTTCATGTTCTAGTGACCCATTTTTTGTCCATGTTTGGAACAGATAATATAAAGTAGGGATAAAGATGATACTGATCATTTGCTGTTTTGGAAGTGAGACATTTCAGTATCTAAACAGAGGGGTTAACTGTTAGATGACAGCCCTTTCCTTCTGTAATCTGGCTTCTATCTCTCAGTCGAGTCTGCCATCCTCTGTAAATATGCTTTCTATTTGAATTCTCACACATGTTTGTTTGTATTACCGTTTCCTGCCTATCCTCATTACACCAGTTTTTCTCAGTGTTTTTTCTCATAACATAGTTTGTGTAGGTTTGCTATAATTGTGGAATACTTTACTTAACGCTGGAGGGTCTTGCTAGTCACACTCGCCATCGTCACGGACTGTGAGTCCCATGTCTCCTCATAGCACAGTATAACACCAACGCCTGGGAAGACAAAAAGTGCCAACACACTAGCGGATCAGTCAGCATTTACACAGTGGGAAATCTATCAAAGGAAATGGAGTATCTATAAGTGTACCCCGAATGTTATACCCTGCATTCAGCTTTAACCTTTAAATAAAGCATTACTGAGCCCCGTAAGGCTGTCATTTGTGTCTGCAGAACTTTAACCTACAAGACTGGCTGGGTCGAGTATACACAGAAGTCTTATACATTTTAATAAGTTTAGCGAGACTTTACAAACACCCTAAAGAATTGTGTACATTTTTTTAACGTTTGGTGCGAAGTAGGTAAAACATTGATTTGCCATGCTCCACACGATTTCCGAATTGACGTGTTCCGCGCGATTTCTGTCCTAACTTGCTTACAACAACTGACTTTTCATACCCCATACAACTTCTCCCCTGAAATATTTCATACAATTCACAACGCTTATCTCGCTCAAAAATAAGCTCCAGACAACTCTTCAGATATTAATACACGACTCAACCGACATGTTCCACACAAATTCACACTTGACATGTTGCACACAACTTCTCCCCTGACATGCTCCATAAAACTTCTCCTCTGACACGTTCCACACAACTTTTCCCGTGACACGTTCCACTTAACGTCTCCCCTGACACGTTCCACACAACTTCTCCCCTGACATGTTCCACACAACGTCTCCCCTGACATGTTCCATACAACTTCTCCCCTGACACATTCCACACAACTTCTCCCCTGACACATTCCACACAACTTCTTCCCTGACAAGTTCCACATAACTTCTCCCCTGACATGATTCATGCAACTTCTTCCCTGACATGTTCCACACAACGTCTCCCCTGACACGTTCAACACAACGTCTCCCCTGACATTTTTCATACTTCTCACCTGACATGTTCCATACATGTTCCCACTTGACACGTTCCATAAAGGCACATGACGCGTTTTACAGAACTCACCCGATACGCTCCCCACAATTTACCACCCGACACGCTCTACACGACTTACCTCCACACTTCCCACAATTCACCTAACGTGGTCCACAAGAAATGTTAACTCAGCTTACACAATCCTCACAATTCATTCGAAATATTCCTTACAACTCACCTGACATGTCCCACACTACTCACCTGACACGTCCCACACAACTCACCTGACATGTCCCACACAACTCACCTGACATGCCCCACACAACTCACCTGACATGCCCCAAACAACGTCTCAACTGACATGCCCACACAACTCAGCTGACATGCCCCACACAACTCACCTGACATGATCCAAACAACGTTTCACCTGACATGACCCTCACAACTCACCTGACCTGCCCGTCACAACTCACCTGAAATGCCCTAAACAGCGTCTCACCTGACATGCCCCACAAAACTCACCTAACATGCCCTACACAACTCACCTGACATGACCCACACAACTCACCTGACATGCCCCACACAACTCACCTGACATGCCCTAAACAACTCACCTGCCATTACCCAGCAATTCTCATCTGACATGCCCCACAGAACTCACCTGACATGCCCCACATAACCCACCTGACATACCCCACACAACTCACCTGACATGCCCCACATAACCCACCTGACATGCCCAATACAACTCACCTGACATGCCCTACACAAATCACCTGACATGCCCTACACATTTCACCTGACATGCCCTACACAAATCACCTGACATGCCCAAAACAACTCACCTGAAATGTCCCACACAGCTCACCTGACATGCCGCACATTACTCACCTAACATGCCAAAAAACAACTCACCTGAAATGTCGCACACAACTCACTTGACATGTCCCATACAACTCACCTGACATGCCCAAAACAACTCACCTGACATGTTCCACACAACTCATCTGACACGTCCTACACAACTCACTTGACATGTTCCAAACAACGTCTCACCTGACATGCTCCACACAACTCACCTGACATGCTCCACATAAGGTCCTAAACAACGTCTCACCTGACATGCTCCACATAAGGTCCTAAACAACGTCTGCCCTGATATGCCCCACACAACTCACCTGACATGCTCCACATGAAGTCCCAAACAACGTCTCACCTGACATGCTCCACATAAGGTCATAAACAACGTCTCATCTGAAATGCTCCCCATAAGGTCCTAAACAACGTCTCACCTGACATGCTCCACATAAGATCCTAAACAACGTCTCAAATGACATACTCAACATAAGGTCCTAAACAACGTCTCACCTGACATGCTCCACATAAGGTCCTAAACAACGTCTCCCCTGATATGCCCCACATAACTCACCTGACATACTCCACATAAGGTCCCAAACAACGTCACTCCTGACATGCTCCACATAAGGTCCCAAACAACGTCTCACCTGACATGCTCCACATAAGGTCCTAAACAACGTCTCACCTAACATATTCCACACAAGGTCCTAA